TCTTTTACGTCTATTTTTTCTACTTCAGATTTTAAAATTTTTCTTCAAGAAAACACTTGATTTCTGTTTTGCAAAAATGTTCAAAGAAAATACAATTTGACTTTTAAAACTTAAAAGTAACTCAATCTTTTTTTTTTTGATTATACTCTTTTCTCTAAGACCTTCTAATAAATTTTTTTTTTAATTTTGTAGCTTTAATTTTTACCAAATATTTACACAAACAATAAATGGGGAAAACATCAAGGTTCAAAGTGAGGTTAGCATTTACAAATGATTTCTAGGGAGTGTTCATGTCCGTTGTTATATCTGTGAACACTTATATTCTAAGGGTAGTACAATTAACCTATCACGCAGGATCCTTATCTTGTTTGAATAGTGTTGTTGAAATATTCTACATGCATTTTTTTTTTTGCTACACATATGTATTTGCAATTATTGTATTTTACTTTCATTTAGCTTAGATTGTGACTCAGCATAATTTGTGAAATTTGTATAAACGTAGATAATTTTATAGCAATTATCAAAACAAAATGAAAAATTGATTATTTGGTTAAAAGTATCTGAGATGTGGTTCAGCTTTAATTATCTTCTTGATTTCTTTTTAAGTAGTAAAAAGAATTCTGTTATGTGAGCTTGTCTCATTTCTTTCTTTTGAAATTCCTTAACTTCTATAACTAGTTTTTTTTTTTTTTTTATTGTACTTTGGATGAGGGTTAAAAAACAAACTAGTTTCTCATTAAACAGTTTTATGACTTTGGTTAACTGCCCCACGACCTGTCAACAGTCTCCCTTCTCAACCTTGAGCTCCCTATTATCAGCTTTCCTGCTCCCTCCTGCCTTTGAGTCCTTGCCCCTGGGCTGTTGTGCCCCTTTAGTTTCCTTTTGTTTTATGGGCCTGTCTGATCTTTGGCTGAAGGGTGAACCTCAAGAGTGACTTCATTACTGAGCTAAAAGGGTATACGGGAACCATATTCTTGGGGTTTCTCCAGTCTCTGTCAGGCCAGTAAGTCTGGTCTATTTTTTTGAGTTAGAATTTTGTTCAACATTTTTCTCCAGCTCTGTCTGGGATCCTCTATTGTCAACATTGTCAGAGCAGTCAGTGGTGGTAGCTGGGCACCATCCAGTTGTACTGGACTCAGTCTGGTGGAGGCCGTGGTAGATGTGATCCATTAGTCCTTGGGACTAATCATTCCCTTGTTTCTTTTAGTTTTCTTCATTCTTCCTTGCTCCTGAAGGGATGAGACCAGTGGAGTATCTTAGATGGCTGCTCACAGGCTTTTAAGGCCCTAGATGCTACTCACCAAAGTAGAATGTAGAACATTTTCTTTATAAACTATGTTATGCCAGTTGAGCTAGATGTTACCTGAGACCATGGTCCCCACAGCCCTCAGCCCAGCAATTTGGTCCCTCAGGGAGTTTTGATGTGTCTGTGGAGCTTTCATGAGCTTGCCTTATACAAGTTGTGCTGTCTTCCCCAGTATTGTGTATTGTCTTACCCTTCACCAAAGTTACCACTTATCTATTGTCTATTTAGTGTTCTTCCATCCCCACCCCTCCCCACCCTCCCTCGTAACCATCAAAGATTGTTTCTTTTTGTGTGTAAACTTTTTCATGAGTTTTTACAGTAGTAGTCTCATACAATATTTGTCCTTTTGTGATTGACTTATTTTACTCAGCATAATGCCTTTCAGATTCATCCATGTTATGAGATGCTTCACAGATTTGTCATTTTTCTTTATCGTTGCATAATACTCTATTGTGTGTATGTACCACAGTTTGTTTATCCATTCATCTGTTGACGGACATCTAGGTTGTTTCCGTCTTTTTGCTGCTGTGAACAATGCTGCAATGAACATGAATATGTCTGTCTGTGTGATGGCTCTTATTTCTCTAGGATATTTTCCTAGCAGTGGGATTGCTGGATCATATGGTATTTCCACTTCTTGCTTTCTGAGGAAGCCCCATATCATTTTCCAAAATGTTTGTATCATTTTGCATTCCCACCAGCAGTGCATAAGAGTTCAGATCTCCCTACAGCCTCTCCACCATTTGTTATTTCCCATTTTTTTGATTCGTGCTAGTAATGCCAGGGTGAGATGGTATCTCATTGCGGTTTGGATTTGCATTTCTCTAATGGCTAGAGATCACGAGCATTTCCTATGTGTCTGTTCTATAACGGACTTTTTAATAGTTGTTATAAGTTGCTGATAATTTCTTTTTATCATTCACAAATACGGTTTGATGGATAGATTTTATATGGCCTTTCTCACCATAGTCTTGTAACTCCCACCCAAGTGATTAGGTGGGACTGTGCAAATAAGGTAATGTGGCCCACCAAGGGGATTGCTTAGTTTTGCCATCCATGAGGCTTAAAATGAGCCATCTGAGAGGCAGTAAGGGAGGATCTCACCACCACCAAGAAAGAAGAGCCAGGAGTGGAGCATGTCCCCAAAGAACCAGGGATCCCTGTGCTGAGAAGCTCCTGGAACCAAGAGAGATAGCTTTAACACTGAAGATGGTTAGAAGTAGCAGCAGAGGCAGGAGACTGGCAGGAGATGGTGCGGTGGGCTTCTGGGCCCATGGATTGAGAAAGCTGAGTACTTCTGGCAGACTTGCTGGTGCAGTGGGTTGCCTCCAGCCACTTGGTGGAGCTAGGTTCACCAACCCACAGAGCCGTCGGGCTGAGGCTTACTGATGGAATGCGGTGCCTCTGGGCACTTACTGGCAGAGCTAAAAGAGATTTGTAACACCTGCCCAAGCAGAGCCAGCAAGAGACCTCCCTGTGGGCACGGCTGAGAGGTGGTTGTCCTGATTGAAGAACTATATCCTGAGCGTTCCTGAACCTGTTACTTCCCTAATAAACCCCATAACTGTGAGTATGATCTGTGAGTTCTGTGTGGCTATTGCAACGAATTATTGAACTCAGCAGAGAAGTAGAGAGTGCCGTGGGAGGGATGGATGGTGTCAGAACTGGTAAAGATGGCAGAGAGAAGTGTGTCTGACCTCTGCCTCAATAGCAATCAGCCTTGGGCTGTTGATCTTGATTCTCCTTCCCCTTGTGAAATTAGAGGAGGTCAGATGCCCCCACCATGCCATTTTTACACAAAACATAGCTTGAGACCTTTGCTCAGAAAGGAAGGCTGAGGTATTAATTAACAATTTTATTGTTTCAAGGTTGGTTCTCTACTCATGTGAATTTTCAACTATTGATTGTAGCTGCAGTAATTACTGTATGTCTGTGCTGATAATTTTAGTTGAGTTACTCATATTTTAAATCCTGTAATTTTTTTCCCCCATAAGACTAGTGATATTAAAGTTTTAGCATTTGGGAATTTCAATGTTCCTGTACAATGTCTCTGGACTTGGTTTAAAAAGTTTGAAATCCTTGGTTAATGATCGGGGCATTTGAGATGGTCCTATGCGGCACTTCTCAACCTTTGTCCACAAGGACACACCTGACTCTCCTATCAGTTGTACACAAACCCTGGTCACTAATTGTACCTCCACTCCTCTCTCTCCACCTGGGAAGTGGAGCTTTACAGGCATTACCTTCAACCCAAAAACAAATCATTACGAAATATTGGCATTTTTTATCAGCAACAAATTACAAGAACATTTCTCCTGACACTTCATCATACTACACTGATACCACGATACCTCATGACTCCCAATGAAAAGCATTACTTAGGAGTTACTACAATGCACTGGAAACAAGAAACAAACAAGTATATAAAGCTTCCCCCACCCTCCCTACACCACACATGGAAAAATAATCCCTGCTGAGGCAGTAACTTAACCTTTCTATGTCCCAGTTCTTACGTTCAAAATGAAAGCTATAAGAAGTTCTCATGAAAATATTAGAAAGTTTAACACTATTGTTTTGAGAGTTTCATTCAATAAGGTAAGATGAACGGCCTGGCAAAGTAGGTAGGGATTCCAACATGGAGGGCCTAGAATCAGCCTGAGGAGTTGGACCTGTATGTAATGGAGGCTTGTAAAGGTTTTTGAATAGGGAAGTAGCACAATCGTCAATATACTACCAGCAGTGTGTAGAATGGAGAACGGAGATATGCAAAAAAAGAATGCCAGTTATGAAAGTATTGCAAAGGTCCAAGAGATGCTGAGGGTAATTGCTGTGACAGCGGGAAAGTTGGGACCAATTCAAGAGGCTACGCAGATAACCAATTATAGAAGCAATAGGATTTGTTTACTGAACGGGTAGATGTGATGAGTGAGGGAGAGGAAGGATTTGAATAGGAATCGAGGTTTCTGCCTTGAGCATCTGAACATGTTGATGCCATTAACGGAAGCACAGGGACTCTGTGTGTGCGTGTGCGTGTGCGTGTGCGTGTGCGTGTGCGTGTGTGTGTGTGTGTGTGTGTGTAGGTGGGGTGGGGCAGGGATTAGGGAATGATTTTATCTTGTCTTTGGGATGCCTGTGGACACCCGTGTGGACTCCAGGTGCATAGTTAGAGCAGGTCTGGGGAGATTTTTTTGTGTAAAGGAAAGGAATACCCTTGTAACACGAACAGCTCACTCTTATAGTGCCCAACCATTAGTGCCCCTAACCTGAGGTAGTTATTACTTCACCAGCAGTAAAAGCTTGATTACAGTCCCTGGCTGCTGACCGTGTGAAGGCCCTTGGTTCCCCCACCTTCCACAGGCGAAATGCTATTAACTGTGATTAATTATCACGTGGCACAACACAAAGACTAGATGATTTATTGTGTCTTGCGGAGGGAACCTGCTTGGTTTTCGCTGGGGCCCTCAGGACAAGGGAACTGGCTAGCTCCCGGGGTTGCCCTGAGCCCCTCCCGGTCAGGGCCAAACAGCCGCGAGCTGCCCCCGGACGTGGGTCCGGTCCTTCAGGACCTCCCTGGCTTGGAGGCTTCCGTTTCTAACGTCCTTGGCCTGCCTGGCTCTCAGACCCCAGCCTCCTGCAGCGGGGCGGGGCGGGGCGGGGCGGGACTGCCCCGAGGCCCCGCCCCGCCCGCGGCCGTCGGCTCCCTCAGGCCAGCGTTGCAGTGCGCGCCTGCGCCGGCCCTCGCCTCGGAGCAGCCATGATGGTGGGTGTTCTCTGCGGCGCCGAGCTCTGGGCGCGCGGTGGGAGCGGCGGATGCGGGGCGGGTGCGGGGGCCACGCTGGCCTGGCACTAATGTCTCTCTTTGTGTCTCTCCCACTTCACCCTTTCTCTTGGTACGCTGGGCACTGCCGACCCCGCAGGAAGGCCTGGACGACGGCCCCGACTTCCTCTCGGAGGAGGACCGCGGAGTAAGTTCTGCCTTCTTTGGCTTGCGGGATCCTGCCTCCCCCGTCTCGGCGCCCGGGCGTGGTTCTGGGAGGGGTCTGGGGCGGCGCGGCACCCCTTCCCTGCAGCCCTCTTTTCGGTTTCCTCGCAGCAGCCGTGTGCCCCGCCCTCCTGCAGCCCTTCCACCCTCGGGCCACTCCGTTCCGATTTCCCGCCGACTGCGGCCTCTTCCCTGTACCCTGGCCAAATCTGGGCCCTCCGGACTAACCTCTCCCCGGCCCAACCTCTCCCCGGCCCGGGGTGCAGGTGCGGCAGTGGAGGTGGCGGCTGGAGCGCGAACGCCCCCACCCCGCCACTTTGGGGCGTTGAAAATCCATTCTCACACCTTTCTGTCTGCGCCCTTAATTTTCTCCTCATTTGGACCTCCAACCCGTTCCTGCCCTGTCTTCTCTCCCTCTAAAACAGATTTAGTACAGGCTTAGTCTAAACTACTCTTTTGCAAAGATTATTATAGTCACCGAATCTTAACTCTTCTTAAGTATTCTACGAGATTTTGCAAAATACTGGTAGCCCACGGTACCTTGTACTTTACCTAATATCGGAAAATACATCTTTTGCAGGATTCCCTTGGTGCTGTTTTGAGGCAAGATTCTTTTATTTCAGAAAGGGCCTTCAGGGCTTCGATTTCTTCCTCCTACTCTCCCCCTCCCCCTATTGTCTAGGCTGAAGGGTAGTAATCTGTGTAGTGCCTTGTACAAGTGAACACTTGAAAAATATTGATAACATGATAATTGCAGCTCAGCAAGGTACCATGATTCCTTCACATTTAACAGCCTGCACTTTAGTTTTCCATTTTGCTTTCACTAGCCCATCTTAGATAATGTGAGAGACACTTCCCTTACTGCATTTTTTTGGTAGGTGGTAAAATACTCTTGATATTATTTTGTTTTTAAAAAGAGGTAATGATAAGAGATGACGTTGTTAGTGTTAACTGATGACCTTTATAAGACTTTGAAATGGTAAGAAAGATGCAGAGGGTCTGCGCAATTAACAGTGATTTTTCTAAAGATAAGACATATGGCTGCCTTTCCTTAAATTACTGTGTTATATTTTTGTGGTCTACCAGGAGATGCCAACAGGATTTGCTTTCTTGTAAAATCTGACTTATGTTCAGTAAAAGTAATAGGTTTTTGCATATTTATGTTGATGATGTGAAAAAGAGCAAGTGTTTTCTGATGAAGATTTGTGTTCATGTCTTTATGCCTTTAGTAAGATTTGCTTGGATAGAATCAGAAGCACTTAAGTAGTGTGTTAGAAACTTTTCATGTTACCAAATTAAAGGGAGAGGAAGAGAAACAGCATGCCTGACAGAAGGTTCTTGTAGAATCTTGTAGATGAAAATTTTTATATGAAAATGGGAAAAAAACATTACCATGACTGAGAAAACTTTTAGAATATTATAATGAATGTGTACATATGTCCAGTTCTTCCTTATTTTTGTCCAGTGGAATGGGGTGAATCATAATAATTATAGCTGGGCACTGTGCTCAGCACTGTATAAGCATTGTTTCATTATATCTTCTCTCATCATCCCAGTGAAGCTCTTAGAATCCTCCTTTTACAGATGATAAATCTGAACCTCAGAGAAGCTAAATAAGTAGTCTGAGGTCACACAGCCAGTGAGTGGGAGAGCTGCACTTTGACCTGTATTTCTCAGACATCAGAGCCAATGAATGTGTTTCTGTAAGTGTGATCTTGAAACACTTGCATCAGAATTATCTGGGGTGTTTGTAAAACAAAAATAAAACAACATGCACAAAAAAAGTACTTTTTCTGGGTCCCATACCCTACTAAATCTGAGTTTCTTTGGGTGGGGAGAAGATAAGATACCTGCTTTTTAAACAAGCACCAAGAAGATTCTGTTGTACTCTCTAGTTTGATTATACTGCACAAGATTATCCTGCTATTTCCCCATTTCAGGAGTATCCGGACTGTTTAAATTTTCTGTATTGTGTTGGTCCTGATAGAAATTGATTATCATAATTAGAACTTTTAGGCATTGCACTTTTAGTTTAGATCATCTTGTTCAGCTTTTTAAGAAAGAGTCTTGGTAGAGAAAAGGCACATATTTGATATGAACTGCAGAGGGGACATCACGGATTCAAAAATAATAATACAAGCATTTCATACGAAGCAAGTAAGCAAAATTAGAGTCAATATTTTTAAATAAAAAATTTAATAGTCTTAAATTTGCATCATGATACTTGGATCAGAACAGAATCTGAGTTGGTTTCACTTACAGACTTAAGAAAATACTGTTTTATGAGAAACTAAAAAAGGACTTAAGAATACACAATGTTGAAAATTATTGGCCACTTTTAAATCTCTTCAGCCATACCTGTGCATAGTAGGGTATTTTTTTTCCCGAAATGAAGGACAGTAACATTTAGTAAACAAATGAGTCCTTTGAACTGGACGCATTTTGTCTGATGTGCTTGTTGAACAAGAGCATTACATACCAGAGTGATGGCATAATTCTGTTTTAGCTTTTGATTTGAATTCTAGATAATAGTTTATTGTTTTAAAAAATTACTTTAGGTGGAGTTACTATACTTCTCCTGGACTCCTAGCCTTGCTCCTCCCTCTGTATTCCTTATCTTAATTAATGGCATCATTTTCCAGTTGCACAAGGCAAGATACCTCTGAATCATATCCTTTGTCCCCACATCAAAAAAGCTGCTGAGGCCAGTTAATTTAACCTCTGAAATGTTTATATTTACCTCATCTTTCACTTGGATAGCTCCAGTTAAGGTCCTGTTACTTCTTTCCTGGATTATACCAATACTAGTCATTGGTTTCTATATCTTCATTCTTTCTACTTTCTAATCCAGTCATGACATTACGTCTAGTTACCTAACTAAACTGGTGAAATCATATAGCACGGTGCTATTAGCCCCACTAGTCAAAAGGACTTACTTGGACCCCATTCCTTTTGGAGTAAGGTCCAAACTCCTTAGGCTAGCATTCAGTATAACACCCTTTCCAGCTGGCTTTATTTCTCAGTATATTCCCCCTCAGGCAAACTCAAGCATACTCTATAGTCTACTTGTCATTAGCCAAGCACCTCTGCTGTTTAGTAATGTCTGCTTTATGTATGCTGTTTCAACATTGTGAATGCTTTTTTCTCTCACCTTTCACTTGAAATGTGACTTATCTTTCAAGACTTGGCCCATATGTTTGCATTTTCCTTTGTATCTGCATAGCATTAGCTTGAACACATGCCACATTTATTGATAGTTGTTTCAGATAAAAATGTGACACACATTTTGTTGGCTGTGAATAAGACAAAGTCCCTGCCCTGAGACCCTTACTGTGTAGTGAGGGAGACAGAGTTATAATCCCTTGTGATAAATGCCATGGGAGTACAGAGAAGAGAGTGTTTAACTTTGAGGGAAAGAGGATTTATGAAGAAATAATAATAGCTACACACTTAAGTAGCATTTACTTTGTGCCAGGGATTTTCCGTATACTAAGTTCTCAAATCCTTATGAGGTAGCTGCTGCTACTGTTACAACTTTGGAAAGGAAAACTGAGCTTTAAGAGAGATTTAATAATTTGCCCAAGATCATACAGCCAGTACCAGCTAGATTTGAACAGACAGGCTGACTTTAGTTCCTGGGCTCTTAACCACCATGTTATCACGTAAATGAGCTAGGCCTTAAACACTGATGATAAGTTTTGTAGGCTCTCGGGAGGAGAAGGGAGGGCTTGCCTGCAGAGAGGACATAGCGTGTGTAGGTGATTTGCTTGGAACACTTGTTCTTACTGGGCACTGAGGTTGCAAAGGTGTATATGAGTAGTACAGATAGAGTGTAAAGTGCATAATGATAAAGACACCAGACAGTGGGCAGTCCTGAGGGATTTTAAGCTGAGAAAGACAAAAATAGCATTTCAGGAAGCATAAAAACCAGTTAAAAAGCTATTGCAACAGTCCAGATGAGAAATGATGAGGCTGGAACCAAGGCACTGGAAGTAGGGATGAAAGAGGAGGGCACAGCAGAGAGAGATTTGGGAGATAGCATTGATAGGGCTTAGTAACCAAATAAGGAGCCTGGTGGCGCAGTGATTAAGTGTTCCCTGCTAACCAAAAGGTCAGTGGTTTCAACCCACCAACCACTCTGTAGGGGAAAGATGTGGTAGTTTGCTTCTGTAAACATTACAGGCTTGGAAAGCCTATGGGGAAGTTCTGCTCTGTCCTACAGGGTTGCTATGAGTCAGAATTGATGGCAACAAGTACAGGTAGTAACCAGATAGAGTAAAACCTGCGAAAGCCAGAAACCTGTCAGAGAAAAAAAGCTCAGATATTTTCCACTAAAATGAATAATAGAAAAGTGGTGAGACTGCACCCTGTCAAAGGCGGAAAACTTGCAAGATCCAGAAAAACAAGGCAGTCCCCTGGAGTTCCCGCTCTCACAGATTTCACCGTAGCACATGGCTGTGCAGGGGAGAAAATGAGGAAGATAGGAGGGAGGAACAGGTTTAGAGGATAAGATAATGAGTTTGGGTTCAGATATGTTTAAAGTACCTGTGAGGTATCTAACCCCAGCCCCCTAACTAGAATGTAAGGTCTGTAAGGGTGAAGGTGGTGTCTCTTCAATGCTCTATGTGTAGACCTAGGACAGTGCTTGGCACATTGAAGCCACTCACATGATTGTTTAATAAGTAAGTATAGTAAATTCAGGTGGATATGTCTTGTTAGTAGCTTGAAATCTGCTTATAAACTTGGAGTGAAAGGTCTGAGTTGGAGATAATAAATTTAGGAATTATTAATCAAGAGTGGCTGAGCTTGCCAAGACTAGATAGCACCCAGGGGAAACCAACATTTAAGGACCAAGGAGTAGAAGAGGACTAATTGACAAGACTGAGATGGGCAAGAGGGGAATGAGAGAAGGGAATTTTAAGGAGGGAGTGGTCAGAGTGATTGTCAAAGCAAATACCACAGTGAGTCCAAACCAAACCAAAC